GAAGTCCGTCCTCGCCAGCTGCCCCGGACCCGAACTCACAACCAACACCCGCGGCGTGTTTACGCCGGGCGGGGCGGCTTAATACATTGTCTGTTTCATCTCCCCGCGGTCGCAGAGGGCTCGCCTGGGCCCTGGAGCGCCCACGACAAACACCGCCACGACCTTTTATTACACACAGCAGCCGGCGGGTTTAGGATGGGGGGGTTGGGAGACTGCCTTATGCCACCCACGTAATTGTGTCCACACGACACTCCGTTTACACCTCCGGTCCCTCCCTGGGACCTGTAATGGACCACGGTGGAGGGGCGGTATGCTGAAGTGGTCAGGGCCACGGACTCCGGAGGCGGGATGCCTGGATTCAAGTCGCCGCTTCTGTGAGTTTGTGGCCTTGGGCTGGCCGTGGAAGCTGTCGGTGTTTCAGCTCGGTTTTCAGTGCCCTCTGCCACCCGGGCCGGTCTACCCGGCGTCATCTCTCCCTGGAAAGCTACAGACGCCTCACCCTGTGTGTGCTGGATGCTCCGGATAGTTCACGTTGCCCTCTTTCCTCCCTGGCTGGTTTCTTTGCTTTTTCTTGCAGTTAGGATCATGGAAGGAGCATTCTGGGAGAGTAAGGAGTTGTGGGTTGTCGTCCTGACGCTGCCTTGTGCCAATGCGATTCCACTGACACAGGATGTTTCATTCATTAGATAGAAATGTATTGTCAGGCAGGGTTAGAGATGCTACATTCAGGGGCAGTGTTTCTGTTTGCATAGAGCTCACTCTGTTGGAGAGCAAGGCAGAAATTACAGCTTAAGTTAGAGATTTATGGAGGTGAGCGCCGTAGCTAAGAAGTTGGTCAGGAGGCATAGAGGCAGGGTTTCCAAAGACTGGACCCATAAGAACAGGCATTACATGAGACGCTAAACTCCACTTTGAGTCTTGGAGGACTAGGAGTTTGCTGGGAGAGTGCCTGAGAGGTGTGAGTGCGAGGAGACTCGCCCAGATGGGTGGAGTTAGATGACAAAGGTTTTTTGTGTTGTGCTGATATGCTGGAATTTTATGCTGTGAGCAATGAAAAATCTGAAGACTTTTTTTTTTTTTTTGAGTCAATCTCACTCTGTCGCCAAGACTGGAATGCAGTGGCATGCTCAGGGCCACTGCATCTTCCACCTGCTGGCCTCAGGTGATGCATCCATCTCAGCCTTCCAAGTAGCTGGAATCACAGACATTCGCCACCATGCCTGGCTTATTTTTTGATTTATTGTAGAGACCAGATCTCGCCAAGTTGCCCAGGCTGGTCTCAAACCTGCTCTCACCTCCACCTTCCAAAGTGCTGGGATTACAGGTGTGAGCCACCGCACCTAGCAGTCTGAAGACTTTTAAGTAAACATGGAGTGATGTGTTGAATCATTTGGCTGCAATGTGGAAGACGGCTTAGAAAGGAAAAGGAGTAGAGAGAGGTATAGACCAGTTAAGATCAGCCAGAGATAGTCATAAGTGGTTTAACTGTGATGTCTATGTTGCTTTCTGATTTAAAATGATTAGATGAACCAGGCTTGGTGGCTCAGCCTGTAATCCCGCGCCTTTGGGAGACTGAGGTGAGTGGATTGCCTGAGCCTGGGCAGACCCACCTGGGCAGCGAGACCTCATCTCTATAATAAAATCACAAAATCAGCCGGGCGTGGTAGCGCATGCCTGTAATTCCGGCTACTTGGAAGGCTGAGGCAGAAGGATCGCTGGAACCCAGCAGGTCGAGACTGCGGTGGCCGGGAGCGGCCACTGCACTCCAGTCTGGGTGACAGAGTGAGACTTCAACTCAAAAAATAAAATAAAATAAAATAAAATGATTAGATGAATCCAGTTATTCAAGGCTAGTGCATATACCTGTCTTCTATTAAGTTTGGAATAGTTTTAGCATTTAACGTAATGTAAAGAGTTCTAGACTAGTATATATATTTGTATAATTGGGATCATTTTTCTAAGCACCTATTAGTGTTTTTTTTTTTTTTGAGTTGGAGTCTCACTCTGTCACCCACCCAGACTGGAGTGCCATGGCATGCTTATGGCCACCACAGCCTCAACCTGCTGGGCTCAGGAGATTCTTCTACCTCAACCTTCCAAGTGGCTGGAACTACAGGCGTGCGCCACCATGCTTGGCTAATTATTATTTTTTAATTGTACAGATGAGGTCTCGCCAAGTTGCCCAGGCTGGTCTTGAATCCATGGGCTCAGGCAATCCTCTCACCTCACTCAGCCTCCCAAAGTGCTAAGATTATAGGCTTGAGCCACCACACCTGGCCAGTTTCAATGCTTTTATTTTTCTTTCTCATTTAGATGGTGAAAGGAATAATGGATGCTAAATATTACATCTGTTTATTGGGAAGCATGACCATCCAGTAACCTTTTCTATTGCAATATATATATATTTAAAAACATAATGGGGTACATAACAACACAAAGGGTGCCTGGTCCCAAACCAGAGGAAATTGGAGGCCCAAACTTTTAACTGTATGTATGCAGCTTACTTGTGTAGTTAATCCTTACTTTGTACCCAATATCTCAAAACAAAAAAAGTCTAGGCGTGGTCTAGGCTCACGCCTGTAATCCCAGCAATTTGGGAGGCAGAGGTGAGAGCATTGCCTGAGCCCAGGAGTTGAAGACCAGACTGGGCAACTTGCTGAGACCTTGTCTCTGCAATAAAAACAAACAAACAAACAAACAAAAGACTAGCCGGGTGTGGTGGCACACACCTGTAGTTTCAGCAACTTGGTAGGCTGAGGTGGAAGGATCGCCTGAGCCCAGCAGGTCAAGGCTGTGGTGACTGTGAGCAGTGTGCCACTGCACTCCAGCCTGGGTGACAGAGTGAGATTCCAACTCAAAAAAAAAAAAAAGATGGAGTCTTACTCTGTCGCCAGACTGGAGTGCATTGGAGTCATAGCTCACTGCAACTCAAGTGACCCTTCTCACCAACTCACCTGGCTGACCCAGCAGTTCTGTTTAGTGGTGGGATAATCTGGAGTATACGCCCATCAGAAATGTAATGCTTATATATGTGTTCACTAGAAGACATGTACAAGAATGTACATATTCCTAAATTGGAAGCTATCCAAATGTCAGCAGTTGAATTAATGAGTAAATTGTGGGCCGGGTTCGGTGGCTCAGCCTGTAATCCCAGCACTTTGGGAGGCCGAGGTGAGTGGATTGCTTGTGCCCGTGGGTTCGAGACCCGCCTGGGCAACTTGACGAGACCTCATCTCTACAATAAATCAAAAAATTAGCTGGGCGTGGTAGTGCACGCCTGTAGTTCCAGCTACTTGGAAGGCTGAGGCGGAAGG